CAAAATAATATTCATAATTACTTTTTAAATAAGCCTAATAATTCTGAATACCATTAAACACAATGATTGGAATTAACAAATTTCTTACAGGTTTATGATGGATTCCAACCTGAGCCCAAGTTATAACTTCCAGCCGTTCCTCAAGGGTGCCATAGCCACCTGAAATTTAAACAAAAACATCGACATATTCACACTTGTAAGAACAAACTACTGTTTGATCATTGCATAAGAGAGTGATCGACGTAATGAAACTCGTACCAGGGAGTGTAATAGAAAAGGTGAAAACTGAATTGTAGAATAGGCAAGATGATTTTGTTTATTGAGCTTCATGCACTTATATACAGCAATGCACGTTTTACATTCTTGATAACTGCAGCATAACAGACTCAACAGTCTGGCTTAGCTGTTAACAACCCAACTAACTCAGCCAATAACACACACGTGTCACTCATTATAACAGCTTAACATTCCCCCTACTTTTTCAAGCTTTCTTGTTTGAATTTGTTAACTGGTGCAACGCATATTCTGCTGCGAAATTCTTCAAAAGCAGTTCTAGTCAGTGACTTGGTGAAGCCATCAGCAACTTGATATGCAGCCGGAACATAGTTAATTTGAATATGCTTAGCAGCTACCTTCTCCCTAACAAAATGAACGTCCAAGTCTATATGTTTCGATTGAGCGTGGTAAACTGAGTTGGCACTCATTGCCACTGCACCAGTGTTATCGCACCAAACTACTGGTTCTTGTGATTGCTGCAACCCCAGATCCATGAGCAAGGCATTCACCCAAGTTACTTCAGCAGCAGTGTCAGCAACACATTTGTACTCAGCCTCCATTGTCGACCTGGAGACTGATTTCTGCTTCTTAGACCTCCACGCAACAAGGCATCGGCCAACAAATACTCCATAGCCTGAAATAGACCTTCTATCGTCAATACTAGCTCCCCAATCCGCATCGGCAAACGCTGAGATAGTGAGCCCTGTATCAGTCGATTGAAACAGCAGTCCATAGTCCACAGTTCCAGCCAAATACCTCAATATTCTCTTAACTGCCATCATATGCGTTTCTCGTGGAGCATGCATATACTGCGCCACCTTTCCAACACTGTAAGCCAAGTCTGGTCGAGTGTGACACACGCATAGCAGTGACCCAACGATGCTCCTATATTCACTAGGATTTTCCAATAATTTACCCTCGTCCCCCGAAAGCTTAGAGGACACTACCATTGGCGTTGTACACGCAGCAGCTTCTTTCATACCAAATTTTTCCATTAGCTCTAGCACAAACTTCCTCTGACTCAACATAACTGAGCCACGTGCTCTATGCACTTCGATCCCCGAGAAGAAGCTAAGGCAGCCAAGGTCCTTTAATGAAAACTTGTTACTGAGCATCTGAATCACCTCTCGTATTGCACCCGACGACCGCCCAGTGATGACAATGTCATCAACGTATACCAAAAGGAATAACTCTCCATCATCCCTTTTATTGATGAACAATGAAGGATCAGATCGGGAGGTTGCAAAACCAATCTGAATCAGACTATCTCGAAGTTTGGTGTGCCAATTTCGTGGGGCTTGCCTAAGGCCATAGAGGGCCTTTTTAAGCTTACAAACAAGTGGTGTTCCATCCACATCATGTTGCTCGAAACCTGGTGGTTGCTGCATGAAGACATTTTCCTCCAAGTCCCCATTGAGAAAAGCATTATTGATGTCTACATGCCTTAACTCCCAACCATTAGCCACAGCTAAAGTCAGCACTACATTAAAGGAGGAGAACCTTACCACAGGGCTGAAGGTGTCAGTAAAATCATGTCCTGGCACCTGTGAGAAGCCTTTTGCAACCAATCGCGCTTTATGTCGTTGCACAGACCCATCAGGGTTGCGTTTGATTTTAAACAAACACTTGCAGCCGACTGGAGCACGCCCTGTTGGTAATTTAACCAGCTCCCACGTATTGTTCTTCTGAAGCGCATCATACTCAGCTTGCACTGCTTCTTGCCAACTAGCAGACTGTAGCGCTTCCTGCACCGTAGAGGGAACTTCATTCTCAAAATAACTAGTGAAGGACTTAGGTTTATATACACCACACTTGCTACGTGTTAACATGGGATGAAGGTTTCGTTGAGGTGCATTATCCTGCACCTGACTACACACTGCTGTGTCTAATCCTCCACTTGTTTCAGCACGATAACCTGCACTAATCGTGTCAGAAGGTATAGATGATGCATCAATCGACTCAGAAGGTATAGTTGAACTTGCATCCTCGTTTATAGTAGTATCCATGGTTGTTACTGGCATGACTTCTTCAGTCGCATGCAACGTATTTTCATGCTGAGCAGGAACACCCAGTTGTGGTTGATCTGTAGCTCCATGTTCATAGTCAACTGCCTCATCTAGAGTAGTACCGCATGACCAATTTCTTACATTAGTAACAATAGGAATGTCCAATGATTGCATTCCTGAACAATGATTTTTTGAACAAGTTACTGCTTTTGAACCAGGCACTGTTTTATCTTTAAAGGGAAAGATCATCTTGTTAAACATGACATGACGTGATATATACACCCTACCATTATTAGAGAGACACTGGTATCCTTTGTGCTGAGGACTGAAGCCAAGGTAAGTGCACTGCTGTGATCGAAAGTCTAACTTGTGACTTTGAAATAGCCTCAGGTGTGGGAAACATTGGCATCCGAACACTTTTAACGAATCATACTCTGGTTTTTTTTAAACAGCCTTTCAAATGGTGATATCCCACCAAGGACAGCTGTAGGCAGTCTATTTATAAGGTGAACCACAGTTACTATGGCATATGACCAATACCGAAGGGGCAGAGACGCTTGAGCAAGGAGAATGAGCCCGAGTTCTACAATATGCCGATGTTTGCATTCCACAACGCCATTCTGCTCGGATGTGTGTGGGCAGGATAATCGATGAATGATCCCTGACTTTGCTACAAGCACCGAGAGTGGACGAAACTCACCACCCCAGTCCGATTGAATTGCCTTGATTTTCAGTCCAAACTGATTTTCTATAAGTTTATGAAACAGCTGAAAAGCTGTACATGCTTGTTCTTTGCTTTTAAGGAGATAAACCCACGTGAAATGTGTGCACGCATCAACAAACGAGATGTAATAATTAAAACCATTCGAAGCAATGTGGGGAGGTCCCCACAAATCAGAAAATACAAGATCAAATGGCACATTATACTGACTCTTCGAAGAAGAAAATGGCAGTTTATGGCTTTTCCCCATGAAATATGCCACACACGTTTTATTGACATTCAAATCAAGATCTACATCGGTCTCTTTAGCTATTTTATTCATGGCATAGCTGGCTGGATGCCCTAATCGACGATGCCATAGCTCTGACTGTGTTATGCTGACAGACGCAAGATGAGCAGCAGGATTATGGCTCTCTACACGCTTACAGCCAACCGAAAAGATGTAAAACCCTTCCTTCTCTTCACCTTGCAGGAGAATTTCTTTTGTAGTCTCATCACGAACATAACAACTTTTAGCATGAAACTCAAGGAAAACAACATTGTCCCTAGTAAGCTTCGAGACCGAAAGAAGATTCTTGGTTATCTGAGGCACGTGTAACAATTCATTTAACAACAAGGTTCTTGAAGAAGAAGAAGAAACAACAGAAGTATTACCAATGCTATGTATATCAAGTGAGTGTCTATTACCCACAGTAAGCTTACCTGGACCTCTAAATTCAACCGAGTTTGAGACATTTGTAGCATCAGGCGTAATATGATGTGTTGCACCCAAGTCGACAACCCAGTGATCAGCAGCTTTGGACACCACATTCGCCTGCACTTGACCAGTCCCTTGACAATACCCTTTACAACATTCACAGCTCATATTGGTGGCTTCTGACACCGAATAGTGTACATTAGCGGGCTAACCTTTTTGAGACCTTGGGTCTGAGGTTATACACATGTATTCCTTATCGAACCGATGCCAACATCGGTCAACTAAGTGACCGAGTTTCCCACATAGTTGACATTGGATCTTGGCTCGTCCCCGACCTCTACTCCCAGGTCTGTGCGTTGAGGACGGCCGAGTAACGTTGATCTCACGTTGATCACCTTTAACAGTATTATAACCTTCCTGATGCTGAGTTAAATTGGCACTCATGGGGAGCAAATCTGATTGCTAATCAAAGCCAGCTAAATGTGCTTCAGCATCTAAAAGAACTGTGTACAGACTGTCCAACGAGAGAGTCTCCTTCATCGTGGTAATGACAGCCATAAATGGTTGATAGTCCTTGGGCAGACCTTTCAGAATGCTGGCAACATGACCAACATGAGGGACTGCACTGCCACACGATGCAAGCGCATCGCAAATCTCTTTAACCTTGGTAAGGTAAGTACGCATGCTGTCGTTACCTTTCTTGAGTGACTGCAGTTTACAATGCAGGCTCATCGCCGCCGTTGTAGACCTATTGGCAAAGAGCTGTTGAACCGTATACCACACTGCAGCAGCCAAATCAGCCCCTACAAACTGAGGAAGAAGATGGGAGCTGATGGTGGAGAGAAGCCACGACGCAAGAGCGCTATCTTGCGCCACGAAATCCTCAAAGGCCTCATTAATGCTTGTTTCACCATTGTTATCAATGACTGTCTCAGGTGGCGGCCTCAAAGCACCGGTCAGCAATCGTTCTAAACGATGGCTACGGACTGTCAACAGAATTTGCTGTTTCCATAGCAAAAAATTGGTTTCGTTGAGAACGACGTTGATCTTCTTATGCGAGAAGCCTCTGGACGACTCCATTCACAGGCAAGAGCATGCAGCAGCGGAGGTTTAACAGAAGACCCCAAGATTTCCGACGAAAGATACCATAATAGAAAAGGTGAAAACAGAATTGTAGAATAGGCAAGATGATTTTCTTTATTGAGCTTCATGCACTTATATACAGCAATGCACGTTTTACATTCTTGATAACTGCAGCATAACAGACTCAACAGTCTGGCTTAGTTGTTAACAACCCAACTAACTCAGCCAATAACACACACACACGTGTCACTCATTATAACAGCTTAACAGAGTGCAATGAAGGCATCGGCCTGTCGAGCCATTTCGGCTTTCCATTGATGCATATCAGATACAGCTCTTACATCTCCAACGCTCAAACCAGTAATCTGTGAGCCATTAATTTCATCATTATTGATAAGCAATGTCATTTTCAGCAACGTTACCGTAAATAAATAATTTACCTCTCTAGGAACCAAGGCCCGTGGAATGACACTGCAATATCCAAACCATAAATCAAAATCTTTCTAAACGAGTGTGTATCACAAAGAAGGAACCTTTGACACGTGAAATTTTTAAAAACCAAACAGAGGGGACAAATCAATTATTTTGTCTTTGGACCAGCCATTGATCCCATGATGTCCGCCTTTGTTGAAAATCTCAGAATTTGCATGGTTCAAGAGGAAGAAACAGTAACAAGAACAGGCCCTAGAACATGGCGCCCACCATCACGAACTGCCTGAGAGATAAGATCCGTCAATCCCACGCTTCCACCTCCATAGACCAAATCAATCCTTCTCTCCACCTTTATAAAAAACACAACACCATGTTTTATATATAAAAATACATTGGAAACTAAACCCCATTAACATGCACGTGCTACAAAGAAAATAAACATTGTGTATGGCAGAATTAACAATTGTGATATAAGTACTTTCAAGGAATCCCACAAATAAAAATCATGGAGGTTTTCTTGTACAAGTGCCAAAGGGAAGAACACGCTCAAGGAAGACATGATATCAAGGGGAGCACGTTTGTTTCCCTTGTGAATAGCAACAGATTATAATTTATGATGATTATATATTATTATTATTATTCATATTATTGTAATTATTTTTTACTTCCAAAGGGTTCTTAAAAACAAACGAAATGAAACAAACGTTCATGCAAGAAGGCTGCTCAACTGACAGGCGGGTTACAGCTAGCAAAGCTTCTTTCTCTATCTCTCTCTCTCGCACATGCCAAACTTAAACCCTAAACTTTCTCTCATTATACAGCTAATTCCCTTCTACAATCATAAGCGCACGTCGAAGGCTTGATCAGGATGGACCTAAGAAGACGGCTATGCAGTCGACTCTTAAGAATTTTAAATTATTATATATTTTAGATTTTTTATTTATAATTTTTATTGATAATTTATTTTCATCTATTAAAATTTATAAATTTACCATCTTCAAAAATTTAAAAATTCGTATTATCCTGTGTCAGTCATGGGCTTGATTTTGATCGAAAACAAATTCATTAAAAAAAACCATGTTTAATATTTTTAACCATGAAGTTTGAAGAAGGAAATTATTGAGAAATTAAAATCGAAATTTGGGATGGAAAATGCTGGAATATAGTTCCACAAACAAGTATAAAAAGAAGTATGAAAAAAGAATTGTTTTAATTTTCCAAGTAGAATTCTTCCTCAAAAGAAAGCTCTTGAAAAATTACAGATGATACTAAAAGAAAAAAGATAGGAAAAGAGAAGAAAGTTTTAAAATGGAAAACTGGGATCTGATTGTTTGAATTAATTCACAGCTAGCTTTCTTCCCTGAACTCCTCCCACAAAACACACAAATCCTTGTAAACCTACTCTTTATCTCTTCCATTTCCCACTCTTTTCTTTGTTTTTCTCAGTTTTTTTTCCTAACAATAATTATGTCCTTGAAGAAGGTTGAGAAATGAGAAGAAGGTTGAATTAATTGTCTTTGCTTTTCAACTTGTTTAAATACACAGCGGAAGGCAACACTCTCAAGTTTTATATATATCAAATAATGTTTTATTTTCATTTTTTATAAATCGGAAAGTAGAAAATATTGTATTTTATTTATTTAGCGACATAGACCATTGTTAGTGATTAATTAATGTAAGTTTGTATACTTTGATTTAATATAATATAAATTTTAATATTTTAATTTGATATGATTTATGTCAATATTTTATCTAAATAATTAGGTACTTTTACTTAGTTGAATTAAAACCGACAAATTCAATGTAATACAAAGTTTGAAAATTTATGGGATAGTTTCAAAATTTGTCCACTGAATTTTAGAGGTTGAGTTTCGAAACTGCCAAATTCACTATAATGCAAGTTTTAAAAATTCTATGTCTAATTTCTGCACATGGTTATCTTAAGTCTCGAGGTATCCATAAGTATTTTATACATCTGAATTTACACGTCAAATTACACACAATATGCATCAAAACTTTAAGGGGCTTTTGGACTAAGGAAAAGATTATTATTAGAGGAATAATCTTTACCGGAATCATATATCTATATTTACATTCCCTTCAAGGGTAATGAAATATTACTTATAGTATCTATTTTGATTTGGATTCTTGGAAATCTCATTCCCACCTTAGGTGTTTATCAATTCCCATCGAGTTCGACAAAATTACACCTAAGCAAATTAATTGTTTCAAAACTATCATCTCCTTTAGTCCTTTAAATCGTATGATAATCTTTAATTTTATAATTTACTTTTTCATTCAGTCGTTGATTTAGATTAGATATTATATAGTTTTGGATATTATAAAGTAAAAAATATTATTATTTTGGTATAAATTTATTTTATTTTATTATAATTTTTTATTATGATTCTAATTTTTTAATATTTATTGTAAAATAATATGATGCATATAATAAAAGGTTTTTTTATGTTATATTTTATGTTTTCTATTAATGTTACAAACCAAATAAGATAATATAACATTCTCAATAATATGTTAAATAATACAATGAAATAATTTCATTATCAATAATAATGTTATATTTCGTGAATCAAATGAGACCTAAAAAGCAAGCCACATACATTCACTAGTTGGGTGACTAATAGTGTTGGTTACCCATATTATGGCGTGCATGATATTTTTCTATGATCCACAACAACAAAGTTGATTTGCAGATTCCAGTGGAGTTGGTCGAACTCTACAAAACCCCAATCTATAGTATTGGGCTGCTCAGGGAATCGTAGAAGAGCCTCTTTTTGTCCACTTCTTGTAAATTTATTTATAATGGGATCCAAAATATATTTACATATCTGAATTTGGGGAGGAAAATAATGGTAATATAAATTTAAATTTATTACACTTGTATTTATAAAACTTTAATTTTGATTCATATTTTATATTTATATATTGTACATATAAAAATTATAATTATCGAACATAAATTATTATTATTTTATATATACTATTCTTGTAAATTATAATCACATTTTATATTTTTAATGTGTGTAATTGAATAAAAAAATATAAATTTTACATGTATAATCATATTAAATTGAAATTGAAATATAATTCTAGAATTAGCTTTCAATGGACGCTAGAGGTCGGTTGTTAAGGGTGGAATGGCCGAAATCCAAGGAGATGCCAACTCTGCAAGGATAGGATTCCACAAGATCTTTAATTAAAGAGGATACACTTAAAAAATTTTAAAGGAACGAGAATAAATTATTAATTAAAAATATATAAAAATATTTAAAATATATATTAATTTTAAATCTTTAGAGACAACTATTCCATCCGTCACTTTTCAATCCATCCCTAAACATGTGAAGTGTGACCGAACTTGGATATTCCTTAATAAAAGTCATTTAATTCAAATCCTCCATTATCTACGCTCACACATGCCTAAATAGCCGCAGAAATGACATCCCAACAACATGCAATACAGAAACCACCTCCCTCCACTGAATCCTCTCCTTTTGGTTTACACAATGGCAAGTTAAAGCAGTTTTATCACAACAAATAGAGTGGGAAATGACTCTTCATCGCACTACACATTTATTTTATTAGGTAAAATTATTAAATGATCACTAAATTATGTTAAATAATCATTCGATTATATTAATAATTTTTTGACTATTGAATTTTTAAAAGTTAGAAAGTGAATATCAATTTCTTTTTAAAATTAATTGCATTATATGTCTTTAAAGTATAACCCTCATTTTAAATTGATAGGAATTGTTCAAAGAAAAAAAAATGAAAGAGATATTTATTAATTTGGATGTGTTATTCAATGTAACTATTTTTGGAGGAAATGTTAAATCTTTTGGAAAATATAATAAAATTAGAAGCTTAGCAGTTAGCACCTACGATTTATTATTCATAACTATTATGATTAATTCAATATGTTATATTGTTCAATATAGTTACAAGATTAAATAGAATTTACGTTTTAAGATTATTATAAGTTTCATAAAAGCTTTAAAGAAGATAAAAGATTTATAAATTTTATTTTCTTTCATTAGAACTCGAACTCATATCTTTAAGTTTCTAAAGCAATCAATTTTGGTGAAGGAAAGAAATAGTTTCAGTACAATTTAACAACCACCCATATTAGAAGATAAATACAAATAGTAATAATAAAAAAATTAAGGCTTAAATGTTAAGTTAAAATTTAAATAAAAAATTAAAGTATAATTTATATAATTTTAAAATTGTGAAAAATAACAAAAAGAAATTTTTATAAAAGAGATTGTTTGAAATTAAATTTAAGACTTATTGTCAATCATAACTAATATGATATCTTTTGCCATTACTCCATATGTTTGGTTTATAGATCCAAGAATTATTTAAACCAAAACATTGGAGATAATATTTGTTTTGCCTAATTTCAAATTAAAGCCTAAACCTTTAATTTACATAAAAATCAAACTTTTAGTAGAATCTACGTTTCCTTCAAAATAAACTTTTATTTAAATATAATTCAGAAGAAAGTAATTTAAAATTTGAGTAGAATAAAAAAATATTTAAAACAATGTTGCACATTTTTTTCTAAAAAAGTATTTTAGTCTAAAATAATAAAATTCATATTTTTATATGGACATATAATTTTATCATTTTGAGAAATTAACATAAATATAAACTTATCAAGTGATATAGTAATAAAAGGAAATATCGACCTTTTTAGAAATCTTGAGTTCGAGTAACAACATTTGTACAGTGTATATGCTTAAACTATTCAAAAAAAAAAGAAATTAACTCAAACAAAATAAAAATAAGGGTGTTAAGGTGATTCTAGAAGAATTATCAACACTGGAATGAGTACTCAACAAATATTGACACTATACCTTTGCAAAAATAATGTGTGGAGTGGGATGAATTTTGTTTGATTAAATTATTAGTTAAGGAAGATGAGATATGGAGGGTATACATTTACTAAAGTCACTTTCTAACATGCCATTATTATTATTAGGTAGAGACGTGGAAAGGACCATCACCACATTTACATATGACAGAGACCAAACCCATCCCCTCATACCCAATAATTCAAAGCTCTTGCTCTAGAGACGTATTTTTTAAAGAGTAAGTGATTTTAGTGATAAAAGAATTATTGTTATTCTTTAAAGTTTCGGGTTCGAACACTATGATTGTAAAGAGTGTAAACGTTCAGTGAAAAATAGTCGATAATTTATCAACTAACAAATACTATCTTATTTATCCATGTTAATTAAAAAAAGTTTATTTGAAAGAATTCATTAGCGTGAAGTTTATAAAATATAATTAAATAAAAATTAATCAATCATCATAATTCAATCTTATTTACCCCCATGTTAATTACAAAAGTGTATTTGTAAGAACTCATTAGTGTGAAGTTTATAAAATATAATTAAATAAACATTAATCAATCATCATAATTAAAGTTGAAAATATTTAAATTCACTAAATAATCTTAATAATAAAAGGAAAATATTTAATTTTTTAAGAAAATTAATTTCTTTAAAAAGAACGAAAAAGAAATGAAATGAAGTGTAAACAACAAGAAAAGAAAACTCATTAATTGCTAATCTACTATTCACTTAAAAATATTTTTATTGATCGCACAATCTTTTTCAGAAATTAAAAATCTCTACAACTTGTTTACATATTTAATTGCAAATTTTGCTATTTTTTGTCCCATATCTTATTATTTCTCATTTATTATATAGCAAAATGTACAATTTACTCCAGCTCTATATGTATAAAAGAAGAAAAATAAAATATTAACCGAAACCGATATACTTAACGGCGTTTCTTTCTTCACCATCTTCTTCCAAAGCCATCCTCATCTTCACACGCTAACACTGCATCTAGTCACGAACTGGTACTTAATAGCGTTTTCTCCGACCATAACGCCGGTGCTTCTGCTCCCGAAGGTGATATAAGCCGGACACCTAACGTAGAGATGATATCTGCCGGAGACGAAAGCTCCAACTTTCCATCTCACCCGTCCATCAATCTTGATCATCAAGAAAATCGACCCCGCAGCTTGTTGGGATGCCAAACTGGCGGAGAATTCCGGGGAAATGGGCACCGAGTTGCCGTTGATGAAGGGGGACCAGACGTTCATCTCATTGTGACCTTGGTACGTGGTTGGGAGGGATGTTCGAAGTGTGATTTGCTGGTTATTGTAAGTGGCGTAAACGTCGAGGCGGTCGTAGTAAATGCCGATTCTGTCGTTGGGGTTTCGAGAAGATAGAGTGACCTGAAAATTGGAGGTGAGGAGGTTGGGGGTGGAGGCGTTGAATGCGTAAACGGTCGTGTCTTGGAGGATGAACCTGGGCTTGCTGGGACGAAGGATTGCCCAAATGAGCAGAATTGTTATGAGGACTAACAGGAGGAAGATTAGGATGCCGGCGATGATTCGTCGGAAGATTTTCCGGCGGTGTTCTCCATGACCGCGGCATTCTTTCACCGACATCGTTGATGGAAAAGAGTGGAGATGAAAGTTTGGATGAGTTTGAAAGGGAAGAAGGAAAATGAAGTGAACGGAAAAATAAAGAAAGCTGATATATTTATGTTTGTGAAATGGAAGGAACTAGTTGGGAACATGGGACGTGTAAAAGAAGTGAGGGGTTATTTATTTAGTTTTTAAACAAAAGAAAGGGGTTTTTTTTTTAAATTTTTAGTGGGAGGAAGATGAATTAATAATTGAATTTAAATTTATTATCGCACTTGGAAGACCGTTAAGTGTTATTTTTATTAAATATATGATATTTGATAAAATAGATCAATTTAATTTTGGTTGGTATTAATTCGAGTTTGAGTAATTGTATATGTAGAAAATTTATGCTGTAGATTCACCTACCAAAGTCAAGTGTGCAACACGGGTCGATTTAGACCAGTTAAAATGAAGTTTTAGAACCGGAAGAATAAAAAAAATAACACCACTATTAAATATGTGAAAAAAATAATACCACAAGAAAAAATTAAGCAAATGCATATCAATAAATGATTGCATATTAATTCGATTACATTATTGTTACAATAATATTTAAGAAGTTACATATTTGAGTGTAGTTATGCATAATTGTCTTTCTTAAAAGATAAAGTAATTAATTTATTAAAAGTAAAAGTGAAAAATAAAATTTAAAATATAATGATATATATATAATTTTTAATTTTAAAAGTTTATGATATATTTTCTTTAAAATTATTATTATTTAATTATATTCATATTATTTAGTTGGTTTATATTAAACTTAAGCGTATTAAGTTTATCTTTATTTATTTATTTATACATGTATTGCATTTTATCTATGTATTTATTTATTTATTTATTTATACATGCATTGCATTTTATCTATGTATTTATTTATTTATTTATACATGCATTGCATTTTATCTATGTATTTATTTATTTATTTATATATGCATTGCATTTTATCTTTATTTTTAATTTTCTGACTGGCGGATGTATTCCATGGAAACTGCTCTCAACCTGGAGTTGAGGGCAACCTACTACCCTACCTCTCCCTTGCCCCATTGCATATGAGAATATGATTTTGTTGTTGTTGTTAAGCATATTAGTGTATGTACATAGACAGAGGTATGTATAGTCTTAGGGGCCATTGTCCCCTCCACCAACTTTTTTATTATAAAATATATAGATATATATTTAAGTTTTGATTTATTTTAATTTTACCTCTCTCATCTTTTATTGTTAATTATATTTTATCTTCTTGAATTAAAATTTTGACTTGTATACATGTATATAATGTAAAAGTGAAAAAAGACAAATAACGTAGAAACCCGAAACAATAATAGAGTCACAGAGAGAGAAATCAGTAAAACCTTAATTAAAAAAAATAAATATTAGTTAATGAATATTTTAATTAATTAAAGTAAACTTAACCGAGAAGTATCAATCAATTAGGATTCCATATGACCGAAATAAAATAGATTGATTTTTTTTATTGAGAAAAATAAGCGTTGTGAACGAAAAGTAAAATATCATCAGCTGGAGTGACACCTTTTCATTAGAATCCAAAATCAAATTATCATGAGAGGGAAGCTTCCAGCTCCTCCACCGCCTTTCTTTTGAGGTTCAAGAATATGCACTCAACCCTTTGTCGCCTTATTTAGTTCATTCAAGTTATTTTAATTAATTATACAAATTAAATGATCTCATTAATTAAAAGAATGATTGTTATTTTTAATAATTTTAGGTTCAATTACGTCGTTTGCGAGATTGTGTGAACATTTATTGTCAAACGGTTAAATTTTTTTCGAATAAATATTATCATATAATCATTTCAAATTAATAAAAATTTAATTAATTCGTATGATTGATTTGACTACATATATTTAAAACTTAATTCAATGAATTATTTAACTATCAAAATTTATTTTTTATACACCACAAATTTAATTAACAAATTTCAATTTCTGTCATTTATAGCTTTTTCGTCTTTTATTTTAATTACGAGAATCGAAAGCCTAACGTGATGGTTGGGGCGGTCGGATCAAGGACTCAATAAATTGAAAGTGCATTGCGTTTCTAATAGTTAAACATTTGAAATAAAACTGAAGTCAATAAAAAAAAGTGATCTTTTTTTGTGTGAATAAAGCATATTTATAAAAAGAGAAAAAGAAAATTCAAACTTGTTGCCTTTTTTATCTTTTATTTTCTATTAATATTAAAGGTTTAAAAGTGCATTACCTTTATGAAAATCCATTTTTGTGAATAAATAGGGATAAAACAAATATTATATTATACCTTTTTTTTGGAACGAATAATAGTGTTAAGATGTTCATTTTGTAACCAAATATTTGAAAAAAGTTTATTTATATGTAGTTTTGAGCTCATATGTGATAGTGCTTGTGGTAATTGTTTAGCAAATTTGAAGTATTTATTCAAATATTAAAATTTATTTTTATACATAGCTGAATTAAAAATGTCACCTTAGCATTCTTAATATTTTAAAAAAAATGTGCCACTTTACAAATTTTCTTTCTACTATTTAAAATTTACACGATGAAAAATATTTTTTACTTAAAGTATTTACATTTTTCATTTAGATGTCTAAAGTATTTTTTTTAAAACATGTATCTAAAATATATCATATTTTTCATATAAGTATCTAAAATAATTTTTAATCAATATTACATTTCAACTTTTAGATTTTTAGATAAAAAAAGATAATATATTTTAAGTATCTATTTTGAAAAAAAAGTATTTTAAATAAATATATGAAATATAAATATGTTAACACCTACTTTAACTAAAAATATTTTAGATAGTTAAATAAAAAAATATTATACTTTGAGTGCCTGACTTTTTAAAATAAATCATTTTGTCGTAGCACCTACACTACTTAATATTAACAAATCATATTTGATGTTAATATGATTTTAGTATGATTAACATCTCTAACACGAAAGAGATAGTTAGAAGGAAAGTTTTTCCTTGGAGAAAAATGACTTCATGGATGACACACTACCACGAATCTTAAATTATAAAGTAGCTAATATTTATTCTAATTTTAGATATAGGACAAAGAAAAAAAAGCCCAAGACTTTCATGTCCTTCATAATGTATTTGGGAGAAAGAGTTCAAAATCTATTTCTCAAGCTAAATTATTGTTGTTATCATCACATGCCATTTCACCCACCAAGCTAACCTAATTGAATTAATGTACAACATCAAAGTGAACAAGTTGTGTTTCTTTCAATGAAAGTCAATAAAAAAGATTTAATGTCTCTTGAAAAAAAAGTTCACATTTGAGCCTACCATGTGAAGAAATCCATATTTATATATAGTGAACCCTTTTTACCTATTATAACAAGTCTTCCTGTAAGAAAATTTAGCTTCAATTCGGTACTGAATAATATAAAATTATATTAAATTCAAGTTCACAAAATTTTTTATTAAAAGTGAAATACAGTAAATTTAAAATTTAACATCGGTAAATTCTCATCTATTCTTAAATTAAGGAATTCTTTGAGCACAAAATGGGAACTCCACTTTCTTTAGAGCACTATCAGATTAAAGATTATTGACAATTGCACACCAAGAACTCAACCAACACTAAAAATGTAGGAAAAAGGGAAAGTGACTTCTTAGGCGGAATATTTTTAGGGGTAAACTACATGACTGATCAATTTCGTTTAAGCTTTGTACACTTTTATTCACTGAATTCAAAAAAATATAATATTTGGTCATTTTCATTTAATTAAGATTTAGTCACTTATGTTTTTATTTAATTAATATGTGGCCACTGAGGGTTAGTTGTCGTTAGACCTTAAACAGATTGCTGACGTGACACATTAAATTTATAAAGTTTAAAAGGGTAAAATACACAAATGACCACTAATATTTGAGAAAGTTTTTGTTTCCCTATTGAAGTTTTAAAAGTAACAAATTGATTACTAAAACATCAAATAGGTCATTGACCAATGATTTTATATCTAATTTATTCCAAAAGCTTTCTAGTTTTTTGTTTATCGTTTGAAATATTCGATTGCTTCATGTCCAAAAAAGTTAATTTCTATTTTTTTTTAAAAATTTTAAAAGTATATATAAAAAATGGAAAAAATTAAAAAATTAAAAAGTTTTTTGGGGTAAACTAGATATAAAATCATTGTTCAAGGACCTATTTATTGTTTTAATGGCCAATTTGTTACTTTTGAAACTTTAGTGAGAAAACAAAAACTTACTCAAATATTAGGGACCATTTGTGTAGTTTACCCTTTTAATTTTATAAATTCATTGCACCACATCAGTAATCCACTAAAGGTCCAATGATAGTTAACCCTTAATGACCACATCTTAATTAAATAAAAACGAAAGTGATCAAATTTTATGTTTTTTGAATTGAGTGAGGAAAAGTGTACAAAACATAAATGAAAGTGATCAATCATGTAGTTTACTTTTTTTATTTAACTGGGGTGATTAGAAGGTAATATATGTTCGAAAGACTCTCAATCATTTAACAATGAACATTCAAACATTCTTGCAGACATTGTGTTTGACCTTGAGACCTCTAGGAACAAATATAATATTTTTAACCCCTAAAGTCGCTTGATTTGTTCTTCTTAAGCGGAATTTTAACTCATGCTTTCCTAAAAACATTAAATTTATATATCCAACCAATAAAACCTTATCTTATACATTTTTATATATACAATTTTTGTAATTTCTTTTTCTTTTTTGTGAATCCAAATTTATGGGAAAAGTCTAAGGAACATCAATCTAATATAAGACTTAAAAAAGGCGAAAATGGCGCAACCGAAAATTTGATAAAATGCACAAAACTTTAAGCTAGATGCAACTTAAAATGTTACATTTTTCCTAATATTTTCAATTGAACTTAAAATGTTACCTTTTTTATCAGTTAACAACAGAAAATGTTAGGAAAAAGATAACATTTTAGGTTGCACATAATCTAAAATGATATATTTTTTTATTATATTTTTATTATATTTTTTATTACGTCCATTTCCATTATTTTTCATTAAACCTTAAATTAGGTTATCGTAACTAATAACTACCAACATTCAATGGCACTTGAAACGGGTAGAAAAGCATATGAAATC